CACACACTCCGACTCTGTGATCTGTGTGGATCCACCGGATGCACACACTCCACCTCTGTGATCTGTGAAGATCCACTGGGGTGCACACACTCCATCTCTGTGATCTGTGCAGATCCACCAGATGAACACACTATGACTCTGTGATCTGTGAGGATCCACGGGGTACACACACTCCACCTCTGTGATCTGTGAAGATCCACTGGGGTGCACACACTCCATCTCTGTGATCTGTGCAGATCCACCAGATGAACACACTATGACTCTGTGATCTGTGAGGATCCACGGGGTACACACACTCCACCTCTGTGATCTGTGAAGATCCACTGGGGTGCACACACTCCGACTCTGTGATCTGTGAAGATCCACTGGGGTGCACACACTCCACCTCTGTGATCTGTGAAGATCCACTGGGATGCACACACTCCGACTCTGTGATCTGTGTGGATCCACAGGGTACACACATCCTGACTCCTCTCTGTGACTCTTCCCTGTACTCTCAATGATGACTGACACCCATTTTGGTCTCCATTTCTTCAATGGTGGGCCACCAGTGAATGCTGAACTCCCACGGGTCAGTTCTTGGCCTCTTGCTGCTTATGGCACAGAAGTGATCTCAACCAATCTCATCGAAGAACCCACTGTGTTTTTTTACAAACTTACACCAAACCTAACCTCTCCCCATACTCCAGACTCATGTCTAGTTGCAGCCTTGCTGTCTCCACAGAATGAAACTACCCAAACTGACCTCCCAGGGCTTCTGCTCCCCAAACCTGCCCTTCCTGCTGTCCTCCCACCAGTCAATAGTGGAATGAGGAGTTTCAGTTCCTTAAGCTCCCACTTAAGGAACACACCAGAGCCTTCTGACAACCTGGACTGGCCTCTTTCTCTAGCTCCATGTGCAATCCAAACAGCAAACTGCTGACTTTCACTGCAGTGGATGGGAGAGCACGGGCCTTTCTGGCTCCCACCCCAATGGCTTGGCCGGCTTCTCCAGTGCCTGCTTTCTTTCCGCCCCCTGCCCTCTGACATGCCAGTCCCTACTTGGCAGATACAGTGGTGACCTGAAGCCCAAACCACACCACCCCGCTCAGGCTATCTGGTCTCAAGGACACTGGCCTCCTTCTTGATCGTCTGCCTGCATATTTAAGCCTTGCTGTTCTCCCCTCATGACAAGCCCACCTCAGAATCATGGTGATTCCCTTTGCTTGGAAAAAGAATCTAAATGGCTCTCTCTTCATTTCCCTTATTTATCTGTTCAAAGGTCACCTATGATGTGGTGTTCCTGGATCTCAATAAATAACCAAGATATCTGATCCTCCATCCACCCCTAGTGCTCCCTCCCCAAAGCCCTGTATCCTAGGTAGCCTCTCCCCATATGGCCTCTGTGGTAACAGTTTATTCAGCATCTTCTCCCCAATCTGAAAACACAAACTCCTCAAGGACCACATGGCTCCTTGGCTTTGCTGTGGTTCCTGGCACGTACAGACATGCCCAGTATGTGATGAATACTTACTACATATTTGATCAATGAGTGAATGAAAGACAGCATTCCATAAGCCAGTGTGATGAGTCCAGAGAACACAGACCCAAAGTCACTATTGAAAGGACCTGGCTAGCTTATGGGAACTATAAAATTGTCAAACGACCAAGATACATAAATCAATGTCCTCTCAGTGCACAGTGGAGGGGATTTGTTGAAGCTGTGTTGGAGTGGCAGAGCACACAGAGGTGGATGATAAAGAACTGGGTCTGCTTTCAAACCCCATTTTCTCCAGAGCTGCCAGAAGGAAAATATGCTTTCTTGGTAGCAGAGCACCCCTCACTGGCAACTCCCAGGTCAGGCTGCCGGTGGTAAAGGAAAGGGACTATTTTCCTTCCCAGTCTTGGATGGTAGGGTTATTTTCAGTTTTTCTCATGGTGTATTTCTAGCAACCCCAAGAAAGAGGGAAGTTTAAGACAACAACAACAAAAATGTGACATTTTCTCCCAAAGGAATTAATAACTTCTGTGAGAACTTCATTGTTGAGAACGGGAACACATTTCATTTATAGATGAAATTCTTCAGCTCTCCTAAATAAAAATATTTTAAAGAAGCAAATTCGAAACCAGGACAAGTCAAGGACAAAGGGACAAAGGCCTGAGGTCAAAGAAGAGTAAGCAAGGGTATGGAAGTATGGAAGGGAGAGGGCTCGCTCTACTCAGGAGCCCCAAGAAGAAAGTCCTAGCTGAGTAACTATAACCATTGAAATACAGCTCTCCAGACCAGGGATTCTAAGAGCAAGGAGCTGATGGTTCACTCCAGTGTAGACCCCGAACCTGCTTCCAGAACACTATATCCTCACGGGGGGGGGGGGGGGGCAGGAGGGGGGGGGGACAGAGCAGTTGTTTCTTTCCAAGCTTTAAGCCTTTTTTTCCTTTGTAGAGATCTTGCCTTCTAATACCCGCACTGTGATGATAAAGCCTTAGTAGAGGAATTTGGGAGAGGCACAGATATTCAAACCATAGCAGGCAGCCAAGAACTTTTTTGAAGAATGCTTTTTACAGTGCTGCCCCCCAGGCCCCACCCTTCAAGAAGGGGAGAGAATGCATTAGAATCAGAGCCGGGGCTATGTGGGTGGACCTGCCCTTCTCTCCTAACCTCTCAGGTTCTCTCTTCTCCCTTATCTCCCTCTCCCACCCTATTTTGTCCCTGTCATCAAAGTGGGATTGTAGGAAGATAAAATGGATCCCATCTGATAACTGAAGAAAATCCCTTTGAACTTAAACTCCAGCGTTGATGCCCTCTGCCACACGATGGGGTCTGAGTGCTGACTTCCAAGAGTGGATTCAGGCAAGAACTTTCCAGCCTTGGGCTACTTGGTATGTTTCTTATTCTAGGAAGATTCTGTGTGCCTGTCCTTATAAATTTAGAAATGCTACAGAGGTCTCACACAGGAAAGCAACTGCACAATACTTACCCAGAGAGAAAGATCCGGATGACTGAGTAAAACATGTCTGGGTCTACATAATCTGGAAAAGCAATCAAATGTGAACTTTACTACAGGTGAAAAGCAATTAGCCACATGTGCCCGGGCCCTGCTGCTCTCCTGGGGCTCCCCCACCCCCCATCTGATCTGCAGAGCCCAGAATGGAAGCAGCAAAAGGAGCCAGAATGTCCCCTGCAGAGGGCAGAGGCCCTCACAGAGCTGTAGACTTGGCCCATACCCTGGCCTTCTCTATTTATGGTACTCCACCACAAGTAAGGGATTAGGGCCATCTTCAAAAAATTAATGTTTTAAACAGACAAGATGTGTGAGAGAACGTGGGAAATTGAGAAAAGGCAGGCAGAGATCATCCCTCTTCACAGGAGAGGAAAACCAGACCCATCATTTCTCAGGAGAAGACCCTGTGTCCCGAAGAAGGCTTGCACACCGGCCAACACAGAGCATTCATGCCAAGCTGCCTTCATCAGCACAGACAGCCATGCCTGGGGACAATGGATTCCACTCAGCATGAACGTGTACATCAGGAAGCACATCCTGGTGACTATATTAATACTAAATGTCTGCAGTCGACTTTTAAAGACTGGCCTCTCCACCTTCTGGAGGCCCCGCTGTGTTCTGTGAATTAGTTCACATTTGTTTTTACCCAGATTAATACTCATGTTTCTTGTTTCTGAGAGAAAAAGAAACATCTTTTGACGAAGCCTGAGAGCTTATCCCTTCCATGAATTTCCCTTTTCTCCCACCATGCATGGGTGACAGTTCTTCCAGCTCTTCCTGTCACTCTTCATTCCAAAACTTTCATGACCCCAGGATTCAGCCTCAAGGCTTCCAGACACCCCTGAGTGCTGCCAAGCTTGTTGCTCAAGTGTGGCCGTGTCCCATGGGCTGGGTTTTGTCCCAACCCTCCTGCTGGATGTTTCACATTGGTGCTTTTTTCTCATCCAAACTGCTAAGTATTACATACAACAGTTTGCGGAAGTAAAAACGTGTAATAAATTCAGATTTTACACAAGTTAATGTATAAAAGGCGAAATGATCATTTTCATTTGATAGATATAATATTTTCATGTCAAATATTTTCAGTAGATATTGTAAAATTGATTTATGATTTAAACAGCCAAAGGAAAATTTTCAGCTAATTACAAACAGGAGGGACAACCTTAACCTGGTACAAGGATTTCCTGGAAATGCCTATGATGTTTAATGGTAAAATGTTAGCAACAA